CATTCGAAGGAGGATCAAAGTACGTCTTTTAGTCAGGCCAGCTAAAGGTGACAGAAAGGCTTTCGAATGCACTGGACCGCAATATACTGAAAATGAGTACTGGAAAAGACAAGGACAACTGCAACGACTAATTCTGTCTTTTTAGTTGCCGTCAGTCAGCCACATGCAAGCCCACGTCTGATGGCCATGTATTTTAGACGTGGGCTCGCCCGGTGAACGATCTTTAACCATAGTTGGTAATCTCGATCACAGCGGACAGGACAGCCGTCCCAGGGCTCAGTCCTAGTGCGTGTCCGCATCTAAGGTCTTGTAAACCTAGGATTAGGTATGTCTGGCTGACGACAGCCGATACATTAGAAATGGCCGTCCCGGTCTCCCATGTCCTTGTTACAATGCTAATACCTGCTAAATCTCCCCGCATTGGGCTTTTGGGTTCACAATAAGACACCTTTGCCACGCCTACTGTTAATGGCATTGGTCCCGGCCACACAGATAGAGAACCCAGTTCTCTACGTCTGAGAGACCAGTGTTCTTACCTCAACGCCTAGGAGGGTCCAACATTAAAGGCAAGTGCACCACGGCCGCACGCCCCAACCGCTGTCTTTCTAATCTCCCCTCCCTCCTAGGCTCCATATGCCCACGTTAAAGCCAATATACCGAATGTTTGAATTGGATCCAGATAGCTTCAAAGTAATTGTGTGTAATTGTGACCTCTTAAGAAATTTTTCACCTGCAGCAGCTGGCCTATCTCGTGAAATGTTAACCGACATTCTGGAGTGTTTTTTTTTCGTTTGGAAAGTATTATCTAGGTGTGGTTGTAGGATAATCGTATAGCATACTCCTAAAATATTTCATTCAACCTGAAAATACTTCACTCGATGAACTGACTACTTCAGTAGCATTGGGGATTTCACGATATTATATATCTATTATAGACTAATTGCGTTTCGCAATAAATTTCTAATAAATGGTCAATAACTAACAAACAAAATGAATAATTGATAATTTCATTAATAATATATTAATTAACATAATAAATAATATAATAATTAATAATTATCATCAATAGATTTAGGGTGACCAGCTGCGTCGTCTTCGAATCTTATACTGGGAGATTGGCCATTTTTAGATTTCAAGAGCTTGCAATTCTGCGAGTTATTTAGACGCTTAAATGTCCATTTTAACAGCATCACACTTGCATACTTATGGATGTTGTTTATGAGACAGCCAACATGATCTACGTCCATTGGAAAATTTTATTTAAGCTGTATGACGTCCTTTAATGGCATGGAATGCAGGATTTTTATTATAGGGAGAATATGCGGCGTGTAGTTTTGAGACCCTGCGCGCATGTGCAACTGCAGGTCGCTTTCAAAATAGTTCAGGAACTGAAAATGCCATTGATTACTTGAAAATACTATTGAACAGGCTCGAGTACTGATTGAAGCGCTGGCTTATGCCCATCAATGCAAGTAAGTGCGATGTGTTTTAACTCGAGGGCTGCAGGGTCCCCCCCCCCAGGAGTTACTTTCTGCACGGCACACCAATACAACGATTTCACAGTCAGAAGGGCTGGGGTGTGTGGATTACTTCCTCACATAAACCAACACCGAAATGCGTGAAGACGGCTAAGTCGCTCATTGCTGTATTGTAACTCATTAGGCGAGCCGTTATGGGACTTAACAAGGATGGTTTTTTCCAAAATATTTGGCATCTTTGCGCGGCCTCATTTATGACACATCATGCAGACCTTGGACTGCCAAGGCCTGTACCGTCTCAGAGAAACCAAACTGTCAACTCTCAGCATGTTTTCCCTTTCGTAAAGGCACCTTCGCGGTGATCTTATACTAACGTTCCGCATTATAGACGGCATAAACTGTTGCCCAGAACCCACGAAAGTTAACACGCCCACTTTGCGCAGTCATCCCTTAAAACTACGCGCAGGTAAAGCGAGGATCAATGGACGAAAGTTCTTTTTCAGTAACAAAGTGGTTGCAGCGCGGGACGCCTTGCCCACTTATGTTATACTCCCCTCCTGTGTGGATTCATTTAAGTGCAGACTCAACGCGTATCAAGCGTCCCAATTACCAGCTACACATTCAGTCATGCACCCCGTCACCCAAATTATACAGTTTTACATTACTAGCAACGAGTGAGTAACCGTCCACGTTTACCTTTTTCGACAAGCAGGCAGTTACCTGGCTTACGCATGCAATTATGCAAAAAATCTCTTTGCCAACTATCCACAAATTGATGCTTTTCTTAGACGATCTGTAACCAATAAGGAGTTCAAAGGCGTTAGCCTATATTTCCCTTAATATAAATGAACTGAAATGAAAATCTGAAGGGAAAATCAAAATATACTCTACTTCAAGCACAAAAGCCAAGAAAAACGAATTTAGCTACTAAATGAGTACAGGTAGAATGTCTATGTGTATGTTTTCCATAGCACATATTGGAATTTCTAAAGGTATCTAAAATCGTTTGGAATAGTTCATATTACACAAACAGCGATTTTATACCGAGTGCGGTTTTTCTAGATGGCCTTAAAGAAGCATATTCAAGAACCGACATCTTGGCCTGGTTGAAATATTATGAGGGTAATCTGTGGGATTATTAGTACTGCAAGCCCGCCTTTCTAACTGGAGACACATTTCAAGGTTTCAGTTAACGTTTTATGACACATGCCATCCTCTGCATGTCTATCACGAAAAAACACATATTACACTTCCCGACACCCCACATCAGCACTCAGGTGTGATTTTCTGTCTGCTTGTTTGCTCTGCAGTTTACGGATGTTAATACGTCCGCATGCTTCATTAATATTGTTTTATTCAGCAAAGAATCTAGGACCGCGCACCAGCAGAGCTCATACTCTAAGGCCAGCGGCCAGGTTCGTGAATACAGATATTCGTCCACGGTCAATTTGTGATTGACAAACGGAGCAACCTCGGGGAAAGAGGGAAGGATGGCCGGAACAAGATGGATATTCACCTGGTGTTTCGGGTTCTCTCTGAATAACATCATTGGGGACGGCAGGAGTTGAGGCTGTCTGGCTCACAGGGGTGCAAGACCAGAAAATACAGTGCGCTACCGATCTCATGAAATTTTGGCCGAAATTCTAAAATGCGTTTTTGACAAGGGAGGATTCCTTGCGCGGGGTCGTAAAATTGATCATTATACGGCATAATCCTACAGTATTTTGGATCCGCCAGAATGTCGACTTTTGAATGCACTTCTTTTTGACCTCCAGCAGAAGCCAAACATGTTAAGAAATACCTATTTATGTAGCATGCTTTCTTTACATTGATTTTCGATGATTTTATAAATTCAAATATACTTTATAGAAAACATGCACAAAAATACGCTTTTCTTTGCTTGTTTGGTAAAAAAATCACGTTGCCTTTACATGCTACACCCGAAAGAAGTGTAGATTTAGATTTTGAAAATGTTCCCCAATTCCCGAATGATTTCGAGCTAGATCAGCCATTGCATTAGGGTTTAGCGATTTCAGACCACAAAATGCATGCATTCCGCGTAGGGAAAATCATGCATTCCTGTGTGTGTTTAAGAAGATGTCATATAGAGTGGATACAATTGTACAATGGATGCGGGTTCTGTTTAACATTTTATGAGGAACACTGGTAAACGGACGGGTACGATGTTCTATGAATAAACATCGAATGGTCTTAAAAATCACATAATTAGAAACTTTTTCAAAACCAAAATGTACACCTTCTTCGGGTATAACATGTAAAGACAACGTGATTTCCTGCGAAACTTGCAAAAGAAAGCATACTTTTGTGCATGTTTTCCATAAAATATATTTGAATTTGAAAAGTCAAGTTGGCAAACACGTGTTTTCGGTTATTAGTTGTCAGGTCAATACAGTTACATGAAGGAATGAAAATGTACAAAATCAACAGTGTTTATAGGTGTCTCAAGCGCTATTAGGCCATTACCACTCATCATCCCCACGGCACCCGCATAAATTTATAAAACCATCGAAAATCAATGTGATAAATCCGTGTTACATGAGAGGGCATATTTAACGAGTGTGGATTCTGCAGGAGGTCAAAAAAGAGTGCATTCAAAAGCCTATATCCTGGCGAGTCCAAAATACTGTAGGATTATGCCGTAAAATGATCAATTTTACGACCCCGCGTAAGAAATCCTCCTTGTCTAAAACAAATTTCAGAACTTCGGCCAACATTTCATGAGATCGGCCACTCACTGTACTTCGCTATTAGACAGGCGGTAAAGAGAGGTTCCATCGTTGTGTTAGACGAAACTGACAGAGCAATAGTAGCAAAAATACAATTCCCATGCAGCATGTGAAAAGGTAGGGGGGGCGTTCACTGGGATAGGACAAGTACATGAATTCTGGGCGTTCGCCGACGGCTCAGTCAACAGCCGCACAAACTTGCCTACCCTATATCGTTTCACGTACTTAAGAGAAGGCAACAGAGACGTGAAATCAAGAGGCCGTCACTTATCACACAGGGCAGTGAGAGTTGCGGCATCACTGTTCAAGGTAAAGTGGGGAGCAACCTCACGTCCACAGTCGGCACTGTCGGCTTTGGACAAAATGCACCAAATAATGAGAGGCTTGAACAAGACCTTACTCTCCAAAGACGCGTCGCTGAAATCACTACTCGAAACGTCAGAGAAAAAAAGAACCCCTCACGGTGTAGGCTACGCATTCAGAACGCC